TTTTGCAGTTTGGCTGGGGCTGGGTTTGAACCCACCACCCTCAGTTTATGGGGCCGGCACCCCACTCACTGAGCCACAGGCACTACCCTCTTGAACTTTTTCATTTTTTTTCAGGCATATATATAGAAGGACCTCTGTAAGGAGACCACCCAAGGGGCTGTAACAAACTGGCCAGCATACGGAGGTAGTCAACATAAGGAACAAGGCCTGCTGTGCAGATATGTACATGTGGTGCATGTCCAGTCTCTGAAAATTAGGTCAACTTAGGTCGACTTAAGGAGGTAGTTGGTGGAGGGAGTTGGTCAACTATGGAGGTTCTAGTCTAAGTATATCAAGCATGATATTCTTATGAGTAAACCAAACTAAACATTATATATCTTTATGATGTTAAAATAACAAAGGTGTTTAGATTGTTGTGGAGTGTTAAAATAAGTGTTGCAGTTTTTTCCTTTTCCTCTAAGTGTTTCAGAAGTCTCCTCCCCACTGTTCTGCACACACATACACTCACTCAGAAAGCACCATTCCCCCTTTCACTGTTCCCCACAGCCTCAAAATATCCCATCACTTCTCTTTCTCAGTTATCAGGAGAGTAGGGTGAAGGCTGGGCTGGCTCTGGGGCCAGAGAGCTGCCCAGAAGGAGGCCTCCAGGGGCAGGGCAGGCGGACAGTCCTTTTGATATTTTCAAGTCCCCCTGCAGCTAAGACCCTACAGCAAGGGCTGAGGACTCTATTCACCTCTGTGTGAAAGACAAGGTAGCAGTGGGCTCTGTAGCACACCCAGGCTTTGTGCCATGTCAGTCAGCATGGGATAATATGAAAAGCCTCCATTGATTGAGTTCACGCCAGGCACTCTACATGTACTCTCATTTCATCCTCCATCAACCCTTTGGGCTAAGTGTTCTTACCTCCATTTTTCAGGTAAGGAAAGAGATTCTTTAAAGTCCGGATTCTAACCTAGATCTCTTCTACCAGGGCTCTGCCTACAAGGAGCCCTGGGACTCCACAGAGCTTAAATGTAAGTTGTCCTATGGAGCTCACAGTCCCACTTGGACTTGTGCAGAAAGGCTGCAGAGGAGAGGGGATTCCAGGCTTGCCAAGAGTGCTTTGAGAACTAGCTGCGTGGTTTGGGCAACATCCTTTTCCTTCAGAACCTGCTTCCTACCCCAGGATGGTGCCCCCCTCCCAAGGTTGTTAGGGAATCTGATGCAATGGGCTGCTCATCACACAGGGTGCACTCAGTGTACATGCAGGTGGGACTTCTGTCTTACAGTTTCCTCATCTAAAATATATAAACTCCCTTTGTGGTTATGAGGGTTGAAGAAAGTAACCAGGCTACACCTGTTATCCTAGCACTCTGGCTCGGCGCCTGT